GATAGATAGATAGATAGATAGATAGATAGATAGATAGATAGATAGATAGATAGATAGATAGATAGATAGATAGATAGATAGATAGATAGATAGCACCACCACCATGTGGTAGAAAACATTTGACAAATCAAATGCTGAAACCAAATTAATGTCCTTTTCTCTGTCTGTCCACAGATGATGGAAGATGAAAAGATTACAGTGACAGGGGAGGACCTTGACTGGTCCGATTTCTATGACTATAACTATAACTATTCAGACTCGAATGACTCTTATGAAGGGGGTGATATTTGCGACCTGACTGAGAATGTGAATTTTGAAGCTGTGTTCATACCAGTTCTGTACTCTGTGGTGTTTGTTGTTGGTCTACTTGGGAACGGATTGCTGTTGGGAATACTGGCTCGGAGTAGAAAGACCTGGAGCGTAACAGATACCTTCATCCTCCATCTGGGAGTGGCAGATATCCTGATGCTGGTGACGCTGCCCATCTGGGCAGTACAGTATGCCCAAAGTGATGGATGGACATTTGGTACTCCCCTGTGCAAGATCAGTGGAAGTGTTTTTACAGTAAGTATTGTGCAGGAATAAAGTAGTACAAAATATCTGTACTTTCAATTAATTTAGCAAAGGTGTCTCTCATTGATTTCTTTAGATTAACTTCTACAGTGGGATCCTTCTCCTGGCCTGCATCAGTCTGGACCGCTACCTGTCCATCGTCCATGCTACACAGATGTACTCAAGAAAGAAGCCTTGGGTTGTTCAGGCCAGCTGCCTGATGGTGTGGTGCTTTTCCCTGCTTCTCTCTATCATTGACTGGATTTTTTTAGAAGATGTGTTTGATGATAGACGAGGCAGAAAAGAGTGTGTTCCCAATTATTACAAATTTGGTGAGGAGGCTGTATATAATTGGAGGTTGGCATCACGCATGATTTATCTCATAGTGGGCTTTGTACTTCCTTCTGGTGTCATGATTTTCTGCTACTCCTGCATTTTGCATCAGCTGAGCTATGGTGCCCAGAGCCATCAAAAGCAGAGAGCTTTTAAAGTTATTGTGGCTGTGGTGGTGGTTTTCTTTATCTGCTGGACTCCGTACAACTTCACACTCTTAGTGGAAACAATTCATTTTGATAACAAAACAGAAACTTGTTCAGGCACAACATCTCTGGAGAAAATTAAGACAGTGACCACCTGTGTGGGTTTCATTCACTGCTGCCTCAATCCCATCCTGTATGCTTTTGTGGGTGTGA